GCTTAAACAACACAGGAAGGCTCCCGCTCTCCTTGTTTTATGCAAACTATGAAAAACTCAGATATTCAGATGGGCTTTGTTATACATATAATTAGGGCTGTTCTGTAATGAAATCGTTCAGAAGGATGTTTTAGGAAAAAGAATAGGGACTGGGTTATACTACTGTGTATAATATTACTGTCTGTTCCTGTAAGTATAATTCTACTGTGTCATTTCTGCATTATTTAATTCTTCACACCAGTGCTTATGCTTTGTTTCAGCTCTGTTAAGGTTTCTGCTTGGTTTCAGATTTCTGCAATCCAAATCCTATTGCATTGATTGTATTGATTTACACTGTATAATTCCCTTCGAGTCTCAGTGAGAAAGATAGACTATAAATAAGTAAAAATATTATCATTAATTTCTTGCAGTAATTTTAAGGTTAATTTTTCTCTTAACTGTTTATTGGCATGTGGGCTTTTAAAAGATGCAATTTCAAGATAGACTAGCTGTGAGAATGCAGTATCATAGGCCCATTCTTGTTAGTATAAGCCTTCTCAGCCTAGATTTTAGAGAGGCAGTCTTCTAGCAATGACTGCTGTTTTGTGTTAACTCAGTCAAATTAGAGTCACTCCCAGGATTAATGTTCCAGTTTGCTTTATGCTGTAATGATTTTACAAAAGAATTATAAATGGTATGTCACACATTACAGTTACACTGAGAATTGAAATACATATTTGATGTGTAGAAAACACTCTATATAGGTTTTTTGGGTTAGAGGTGCATTATTGTATCAAAAATAAATGGCTGGTATGCTGTATGTAAGTTAAGTGATGTATATAAATTAAGTCCGCCACCACTGTGGCTATACCTAGAGTACTTCCTGGCTTCACACTCTGCCAGGTCTGAAGTTTAAATATAAGTGTGCATGCACAGACAGTGCTTTTATATGGGGGGGGGGGCAATTTGAACTCCCAATGTATTGTTTAAAGATTTCAGATTGTTCTTTAAACCTGGAACATCCTCCAAGTTTGTAGGAAAATTGATGTAGCCCCAATTCATGGATTTAGATTTCTGCAGCAGGGGCCACACATCACTTAATAGATTACATGTGCTGTTACATGCCATAGGATCAAACTGATATTGTGAATTATTTAATTTTTCCCTCCCAACTCTCCGTCAATTTTCAAATTTTCAAAATAGTTTTCCAGTCCACAAAGTATCTATGACTCATATATGGTAGACAAGTGTGAAGACCACAAACCTAGTTGTCAAATATTATGGAAGACAGCTAAACATAATGTATTCAGATGCTTCAGAATATAAATGTAGCACAAAAGATATTTGGGAAGGAAATACTTAGAGGGCAGCACAGAGATCTTTAAGCAACTACTGACATTGTTGGTGGTTACTGAGAATATATATTAACAAAATCTTATGAGAATCCTTTCAAAATACTGTGGTAAAAATCTAAATACAAATTGGTAATTGTAAGCAACAGATCAGCCAGAGCTTGCTAACAAGGGGGAGGGGCCCACAAGAACTCTGGAGGAAGAAAGAGGAAGAGGGATGGCACAGAGGGGGGAGAGAACCAACCTTGGAAGAAGAGAGGGTCCAGAGAGGGACCGAGAGGGCAAACAGGTAATGACGGGAGATGCTGGGGAAGGGCCTCTCTCCAGCATCAGAGGACAGACTATTAAGCAGCCAGGAGGAGTGGGGGAAAAAACATCAGAAATTAAGAACAATATAATACCAGTTCTTGTATGTGTCATGTTTTCTTCTTGTTCACTTTGTTCTCTTCTTCTACTCAGAAAAACTGTTATCTTCTTAAAAAGTTCAATATACATAAGACAAAACTTAGAAATAATTAAACAATATGGTATGCAAAGCTCACCGGAATTTATAAATTGTATGAAAATGTCACATTTTGCAACTTTAAGCACCAGAAAAAGAAGAATGATCTATGCTCAAAATTGTTGTTGTATGTTGAGAGATATTCCAACCCAGATCATTAGGTCAAGTTAGACAACATGACAGCCAGTCTGTGTGTTTGAAACTCAATCTGCTCTAGTTAAGAAGAAATATACTGGTTTTGCCCAATTTAACCTTGATTATATCCCGATTGTACTCTGGGGGCTTACACTGCAGTTCTGTGCTTTTTACTTGTCTCAAGTGGTTAAGACGCTGAACTGCAGGCTGTGGAAGGTCAGTAGTTCAGCAGTTCGAGACCGGGTGCCGCATGATGGAGTGAGCTCCCATCTCTAGTTCCAGCTCCTGCCAACCTAGCAGTTCGAAAGCAAGAAATTGCAAGTAGATAAATACGGTAGGTACCACTTCTGTGGGAAGGTAACAGCGTTCCGTGCGCCTTGGTGTTTAGTCATGCCAGCCACATAACCACGGAAACGTCTTCGGACAGCACTGGCTCTTTGGCTTTGAAACGGAGATGAGCACCGCAACCCTAGAGTCGGATTTGACTGGCTTTCGAGCAAGGGAACCTTTACCTTTACCATTTTAAGTCCCACTGAAATCAATGTAAAACACATAAGATCAAGTTGCTAGAGAATTGTGCCTCCGGTTTTTCTGTATATCTTATATTTGTACTGTTGTGGCAAACTCATTGTAAATGGCTTTGTAGACTGCAGTCTTTAAATAAGGAGCTTTGAGTGTATAACTTGGGAAGGGACTGTAGCTTTCTTTGCATGTAGAAATCCCAGATTCAGTCTCTGGCATCTCCAGCTAAAGGATGTTAGGTTCCAGATATTGAGAAAGACCCTTCTCTGCAAGTGACTCTAAGTAAGTGCTTGCCAGTTGGAATAGACAATTCATTGTTGTTGTACCTGTGCAGTCCCACATGGTGCTGTGCACATGTAGGCCTACTGCAAAAAAAGGTTTTGAAGCTCAGAAATGCTTGAAGGCACCACCCTTCCCAGCATGATAAAGAGGGGGTGGAGCGCTCCTCCCTCAGTTCTCTCTCTGCCACTGCTGAGAGAGAGGTTCACTAGAAGCTCTATCATTCCTTACCAGAACCAAACTGCCTTATAGCTGCCTCCATAGAGTGTTATATCTTTAATAACCTTATCTCTTTTTTTGAGAAAGTTACTACTTTGCTGGATCAAGGGAATGCTGTAGACGTAGTATATCTTGATTTCAGTAAGGCTTTTGATAAAGTCCCACATAATATTCTTGTTGACAAATTGGTAAAATGTGATTTGGATCCTATGACTGTTAGGTGGATCTGTAACTGATTGACAGATTGCACCCAAAGGGTGCTTGTTAATGGTTCCTCATCCCCTTGGAGAGGGGTGACAAGTGGAGTGCCTCAGGGATCTGTCCTGGGACCTCTTTTGTTCAGTGTCTTTATAAATTATTTGGATGAAGGAACAGAGGGAATGCTTATTACATTTGCAAATAATACTAAGCCGGGAGGGGTAGCAAATATGGTAGAAGACAGTCAGGATACAGGATGATCTTGACAGGCTGGAAAACTAGGCTAAAACAAATAAAATGAATTTCAGTGGATTTAAATGTAAAGTTCTGCATTTAGGTAGGAAAAATCAAATGCATAATTATAGGATGGGAGAGACTTGTCTTGGCAGTAGTATGTGCGAAAAGGATCTAGGGGTCTTAGTAGACCATATCCTGAATATGAGTCAGCAGTGTGATGCGTTAGCTAAAAAGGCAGGGAGTTGGACTAGGTGATCGTAGTGGTCCCTTCCAACTCTATGATTCTGTGTCACAAAAAACCTCTTTAAAAATGCAGATCCTGTGGATTGAAATCCCCCATGCAGGGAGTAGGACTAGGTGATCGTAGTGGTCCCTTCCAACTCTATGATTCTGTGTCACAAAAAACCTCTTTAAAAATGCAGATCCTGTGGATTGAAATCCCCCATGCAGACAACCATGAAAAATGCCTCCTGTGCCTCAGGAAAGAGCACAGTGTCTCATGCTGTTCTGTTTATCACCAGTTTACACCTAAGGCAATGCCCAGTAGAGCTTTCCATCTGAAAGCAGTGCTCTACTGGGCATTGCCTTAGGTGATTTGTGTCTTACTGCAATTGCCATGTCATCAGCATATGCAGACTTTCTGGATATCATCTTGGGAACATCAGAGATATAGCGATTGAAAAGAACTGGAGTGAGGACCAAGCCCTGGGGTAGGCTTTTATTCAGTTTCTTCTGCTTGTTGATTGACTGGCTCATAATTACTTGGACTGTAAGCTAAATATGAACAGTAATGCAGTCTTGGGTGTATCAGCAGAGGCATGACAGCCAAATCACAAGATGTCATAGTGCCACTGTATACAGCATTGGTCAGGCCACACCTAGAGTACTGTGTGGAGTTCTGCAGGCCTCACTTCAAAAAGGATGTGGACAGAATGGAGCAGGTGCAGAAGACCGTGACAAAGATGATCAGGGGCCTGGAGACCAAGCCTGATGAGGAAAGGCTGAGGGACTTGGGAATGTTCAGTCTGGAGAAGAGGAGGTTGAGGGGGAACATGATTGCTGTCTTTGAAAAGCTGTCACTTAGGGGAGGGGAGGGAGCTTTTCGTGTTGGCAGCACACAATAATGGGTTTAAATTTCAGATGAAAAGTTACTGGCTGGATAGTTGGAAAATGTTTATACAGTATGAGTTGTTCAGCAGTGGAATCTGCTGCCTAGGGAGGTAGTGAGCTCTTGCTCACTGGCAGTCTTCAAACAGCAGGTGGACTAACACTTGTAAGGGATGCTTTAGGCTGATTCTGCATTAAGCAGGGGGTTGGACTAGATGGCCTGTGTGGCTCCTTCCAACTCTATGATCCTATGATTCTAACCTTGTTCACTAAGATAATGGACCAATGGTCTGATTCTGGATAAGGCAGGTTCATATGTTAAACTTTTTTGCTATGGGCAGCAGAGAGACCTCAGTATGCTCTCATCATCCAGTAATTTAAGAAAAGTTTTGCTTCTATAATTGTAATTGTTTTCTACTCTACCTGGTAATCTAAGAAGTAACTTCATTTTTGTTGTTTATATTTTGAAGATCATCTGTGATATGGAAGCCCAGATTCATGCACTGAGAGAAGAGCTTATTCAGGTGAATGCTCAGAGAAAAAAGCAACTAGCTGAGCTTAGCCTCATTCGAGAAGAAGAAAAGCAGAGAATTTCTCAGGACCATGAAGCTGCCATGAACAAGCTGAGAGCTGACTCAGAAAAGATAATGTTAGATTTAAAAAAGACTAGTGCTGCAGAAACAGAGATGGCTTTGGAAAAGGTAAGCCAGAATTTTATTTTATTTATTCATTTATTTAAAATTGTTCACCCCATCTTTGTGCTGTCATCAGGGCCACAAATTTGTCTAACAAAAATGTATGTAAGAAAAACAGGTCTTAATAATTATTAAAATGAAACGATAATGCATCATTAAAACAATTAAACCCAAGCTAAAATACACATACAAAAACATAAAAGCAGCAAGTAAAACATAGGGCAGGAATGAGGGATCCCTGAGGGAATGCCAGATGAAATAAAAATGTTTTCACCTGCTGGCAGAAGATGGCAACAGGAGGGGACAGGTGAGTCTCTCTGGGGAGAGAGTTCATAGTTTGGTGCCATGAGCAAGAAGCTAATTTGAAGCATAGCTACTGCACAGAAAGTCTGCAGAAGTTGCAAGTGTGGGAAAGTAAAATGGGAAACTGAAGATGTATACAGTTTGGATAACAGTGTGTGGACTGTTGCTATCCATGGTGCATGTATGTGTGTTTTCTGTCCAGCTGCAAGATGGAAAGCCAGTTTTCAAAATCTCTCTAAGCTGGTCTGAGGAAAAACGCTTTTCTTTTCAGAAGGATGGTAAAGATGGATGACACAGATATGTGCGTAGTTGTTGCAGGTGCCTGTTTGCTAATGCCTATGACATCCCTGGAGCCATGTACCTCACTGAATTTTCATAAACATGCCAGTATTTTAAAGGATGTTTAAAGGTTTGTTGTGGAATGAGAACATTACTAATATAAACTTGTGTGCGACACAGATCTTCTGAGGGTTACTCTTATCTCACCTTCTCCCACGAAGGGTACCCTCTCATTTCAAGATCATTTTTATTTCTTAAAAAACATTTTTCCAGGCCAGAGGGCGCTGTCTTACTTCTGAAACAGCACCTCTTCCTAGCAGTAAGCAGGGTAAACTTCTGATTTCACTTGGCAAAAAATGTGAAAACTTGCTCCTCCTATGCAGGTCCTGTCTTCTGTACAAGCCGCAGGGGTTTGTCAAAGCTCTCCTTCTTTCACAGGAAACAAAGTTTCCAGAACAAATCTTTCAAGCTCATGGCTACTTTATACCAAAGAGTTTCCCCCTATCCAGCAGAAGAGAGCAGGGGACGAGGATATTTATCAAAGTTCTGGTATTCTGCTGGCACTCTATTACACAAAGAGAGTAGCCATATTCTCCTATCATCATGATATCCCAGTAAATTCACCAGCCCTACAGCAAGGAGGGAAGGGTGTCTAGTCAACTGCTTCAAGTGCTTGAGGGACTGTGATGTCGTAACATGACCTTGGTAGAACATCATTTGGGATTACTGAGAATGGACCATGTAGCAGAGGATCCATATGTGAAGCTATATTGGCTCAGCTAACAAACCATCCAGCAGGCAAAGTGGGAACTACCTCCCCACCCCTTCAAAAAGATACAGAAACCAACAATAATCTTGTTCGTGAGCAAAGAAAATCTTCAGTTTGACACTGTCATGATTGGGTATAAAATACTTGGAGGGGTATAGAAATCCTGTTGGCAGTGTGTTCAAATATACTGTATATACTTCCTATATTCCTACTTCTGGAGATGTAATCGAATACACTGACCAAACCACAGCAAGAGGGACAAACATCAATTGTTTATCACTGCTCGTAAACTGATACCACCTTCAAGATTAATAGCAATCTTACGAGAAGGAAAAACCTTTCAAGGAATATTCTGGTAAAATTATCTGAATTTGGTATTAGTAAAAATTTATACATTTTTAGAGCCAGTCCAATGTTAAAATAGTCAAGATGTTTGATTCAGGGGGGTAGCTGTGTTGGTCTAAAGCAGCAGAGCAAAGTTTGAGTCCAGTGGCACCTGTAGGACCAACAAAGTTTTATTCTTCAGATACAGATTGAAACAGAAGTCACCAACCATTACATATAGGTAGAGGGTAAGAACGGTGTTGCCAGGAAGAGCTGATTGGAATCAAGATGCATAAGTAAGAACAATATATATAGCTAAGATTGGACTAAGGCAGTTTGTAGAACCTGTGAATAGCAACAAATTAGCATATAGCTAAGTAAACACTTATATTATGCTTTTGGGGGGGCACATTTTATGCATAGTATTATAAAGTGGGTAGAAGGAGAGTTGATAATATTAGGTGATATGAGTGGTATAGTGGAAAATAGCCTTGAGTCAGGCCTCACTTCTCAAATCCCAAAGAACTTCAAAAATTGTTTAGACAATATGGATGTACTAGTTCTTTTTAGATATAAGTACCTACTTAAGAAGGAGTACACGTCTTACTCCTGCAGACATAACTCACATTCCAGAATAGACTACATTTTTGTTGATTTGGTCATGTTAAGGAGAATCAAGAATCTCTCAATAGATGCAGCAATTTATGCAGATCACTCACCTCTAATTCTTGAGTTTACAATTTAAAATGGGTTTTCTTTTTTTTTTGATGATTTTTTAATTAATTTTCCAAATAAACAACACAAACAAACAAAACAGTGTTACATAAAAGGAGATTAGTTTCTTGCACCACAGTGCTACCGTTACTACCATATAATTGACCTAATTTTTTTACCTATTACATTAATCTTATGCAACCCGAGAGGTTACATAATATCTTGCTGAGATCATTGGAAAAAATATGTATAAATAAAAATATTCTACCGTCCTGCCATTATTTTGTTTAATTAATGCACTTCCGAAGCTCTATTATAGGTTTTCCTCAATCCTTCTATTATGGCCACTTTCATTTCTATCTACTGCAAACCACACCTTGGTTTAGGCCCTTTTATAATTCCATTCCAACTATTAATATAAGGTTGTAATCCTTTTCCAATGTTCTTTCAGATCCTATTAACTTGCATTTTCTCCATCTCCTGTAATTTCGTTACTTTAAATTATCTCAATACCTGTGAAAAGCAAACCCCCTATATCTGTCTATCTTTCACTAGAGAGTGCATTGTATAAACACAGTCTGCCATTCCCCTCGTCTGCTGTCTCTTTAAATTTTGGAACTGGAGAGGGTTGTGCTTAATCGCCAAAGCTTTAGCGAGATAGTCTCTTTTATATTCCAACTCGGGAAATGCATTCTTCAGCAAGTAAGTTAAAGTTTTCTTCCTCTTACAGATAAGGTTGCATTAAAAAATGTTCTTAACAAAAATACAAACCCACCACTCCCTGTGTCCGGTAGCGACAGCTACGCTACCCTGAAGGGAGGTTCTTTTTCCACTTGATGCTTCGGGAAAAAGCCAGATTGCTCTCGTCGCTGCCGCCAACGGAGCAGTAACAGCCCGCATTTCTTGAGTACACTCTGAAGAGTAATAGGAATGAGTACAGCTATCTTTTGGGGAAATTGATGAATCCAGAATGGAATGTGTGTGAATCAATGAAGACACGTTTTGATGATTTTTGATGTTGGAGGAAGTTCTAACGAAACGGAAGATTGAATCCGGAGAATTTCGTCACATCACCTGAAACAACAAACAGCAATTTATTATACTACTGGAAATTTGTATTTTTGTATTATTTGTATGACTTGATTATTACTAGATACTTTAATAATTATTACAATTTTGTGTGCACGCTTTGCAGTATTTTTTGCTTATCTTGGCTAACGGAGCACTGGCCAAACTCCCCTGCTCCCTTCCCTCTTCCCGAGCGAAGGGGGGGGTCTCTCAGCACTAGAGACCCCCACAAATCAAGATGAAAAAGCCAGGGCGGCAGGAGAGCGATTCTCCGCTGTGTCCGCAATGTCGCGCTGCAACCGGAAGCTCCAATTTAAAATGGGTTTTCAAAAGAAGAATGGAGGATGAATAATTTAGTGTTCCAAAATAAGGATTTGATTGAAAAGATGAAGGCAGAAATAATAAGCTTTTACAAATTAATGAGACTCACAATGTTAATTTCAGGCTAGTTTGGCTCTCGTTTAAAATTTATATGAAAAGTAACTTGATTTCCTTAGGCAAGTATTACAAAAAACAATTTGAGGTAAGAGTTAATGAATTATACTAATCTTTGGTCTTCTGTGCAGTCCCACATTGGGACTGTGCATGAGCAGCCCTGCTGTGGAGAAATTATTAAACTAGTTAAAAATTCCACTAGGGGGTGCTGGACCCTTGCTCAGAGCCATTGCAACCACTTTCTGCTAAACTGTCATGTGGTCCAAGCAGGGAGTGCCCCTTCCCTCGGTTCCTTGTTCGACACTGACAGAGTAGATTCTTCCTCCTGGGGAGTGATCAACTTCGTTAAGGTAGACCTTTGTTTGCCTTTCCTTTGACTTTATTTTTAACAAGCAGCATGACTGTGAGAATCTTCTCCGTTGGTCCAGGAGGGGGGCAGTCCTTGACTCCTTACTCCTGGGAAAGCACCTCCCTCTTCCATAGGCAGGGCCTGCAAACTTTGATCCCAGAGGGGAGGGGCTTATCCTCTGATCCCCAGTCTTACCGGCCCTGCCTTCTGAGCAGGATGTGCTGGCTGTGCTCTGAAGAGCACGAAGATCCCAGAAGACACCGGAAGGTCAGAAGAAGAAGCGGAGACCTAAAAGAGGGCAACAGGAGAAGGTACTTACCTTCCAGCCCTAAAACATATTCAAGAGCTGCGGGCCTCGAATTACAACGGATCCGGCACCGGCAGCCCTGGGAGGCCCCCAGGCAGTTGTGGCGCCAAGAGGAATGCCTCAGATTCCGCTGGGAAGGCGGCAGTAAACCACTCCCCCCCATCCAGCTGCAGCAGCATGCAGCGGTTTTGGGGACAGATGCTCAGTGAAGAGCCTGGGGAGAGTGGAGGCAAGAGAGGCGGACGAGGGTGGCGTGGAAACTCCATCACCATCCATTTTGGCGTTGGAACGGAGCCCCCTCCTTGTTCCAGATCGTGGCGAGGAGAGACGCGGCTCCTGCGCAGTCTACCCAGTCGGCTGAACCACGGCAGGACTGTATCCATTGAGAACTGGCAAGGTGTGGAGGGGGAGAGAGAAAGAGGACTACCCCCCTCCCGTTTTCTTTTCCCCACCCTTTA